TCCTGCTGAGGATCTGGCAAACTATTTTATACAGCTCTCGCAATGCTTGTCTGAGCATACAAAAAAAAGGTTCTATAGGGCATTCCCTATACTTCCACCTGTATGTAAGGGTTAAGTAAATGGAAAATCCCGTTCTTTCCTAAACAGGACTGTTCCCTCCTGGTTCATGCAAACTACCCCAAAGGGAGCCTTGGGGAAAGGGAGCAGGGCTCCTTCCCCCTGTGCAGGCATGCACAGGCAGGTGCATTCAATCACCTGTTGTGATTTTCTAGGGGGTTTAATGCACCTCTGTGTCTCCCTGCAGTTGGATTTGTTCCTTTCAAACACAGATCTGACTTGTGTAATTTTGCAACTGTTAAGTACAACATTCCTACACATCCAATCCTGTTTCCTCAGAAGTCAGTGGGTACAGAACACAGCTTTACTAATTACTTTCTTGTTTTGTCTGCTAATTGGTTTCTCGTACTATATTGCGTTATGCTGAGAGAATGCCACATGTTGCCTAACCCCAGTTCCCTGAAGTTGGTCTAGGAGTCTATGTTAGGTCATTTCACCTAAACTCAGGCACGCACAATATAGACATCTGCATATAACCCAGTTTGCCCCATTTGGTGAAGGTACAAATATAGCTTATCCAAAGGATGATCTCAAGCTTTAAATTAGGCTCTCCTCAGGTATTTTCCACATACACACATACTATGTTCTCTCTAAATATGCTCTTTCCTGCTTATTCATGGCTTATGTGCTTAAAGTCTAGTCAAACGAACTTTATTCTTCTATCTAAATACTGTGGTTATTCACTTACACATCTGGAATGGATTTAAGCAAAGATTAGTCTGCTTTACTCCTTAGACTGCAATGTAATTCACAACATATTAGGTTGTATACATTTGCACAGATCATTTTTAATCAGATGCACAGCATGCTGTTCATATCCTTTTACCTTTTTATTATTATTTCTGATACTGTAGTTCATCAAACTCCATCAGACTTTCCTAGTTTCATCACTAGAAATGGTTTTCTTCAAGTACAGGATGGTGCTGTGATACGCTGCTTCATATCAAAGAGATATCCAACAGATATAACAATCCATATTCTCATTACTTTTAGGACCTTCACACAAAGCAATTTATTTCCTTTCCCCAGTCATAAAAACCATACCCCAGGATCCTGCAGCCTGCTTCAATCGCATCCAGTACCTGCTCTATCACTTGCCACTCTTTCTTTAAATTTCACTTCTCCATCCTCTTCAGTTTGGCACATGCTGATTTTCTCTGCTCCATCAGACTCAGGCAGGTGGGTTATATTCAGAGCTCACATAAACAAGCAGTCTTATTAGACAGTAGGTACATTCCCTGACTGTTCCTCTAATCAGTTCATATTTACCTCCCTAAGTGCTCAAAAAAAAAAAAATAGCAGATGGTGAAATCAGTTAATTTTCCACAAGTGTTGTTGCAGAAAATGAATCTTCAGGAAATGTTTCAGATGGCAATTTTTTAACTCACAATCACGCACTTGTCTTCAGTTATACTTTTAACCTTTTTTAGTATGCTAGGGAGGTATTAACTATACATGATACAGAAGCAGTGGCCCTTTGACGTGTCCAGTGCTGCTGTCTGACACAACAACGTAAACCATCTGGCTCTCACAGATGCAGGGGTGTGGGGGTTAATAATGTATTTCCCCCCCTCCCATTCCTGGTGTCTCTAATAGCTGCTGTCAATCAAGCACCCTCCTCTTCCCCAGCTCCTGGAAGAGACACACATTTGAAATTCCTGCCTAGGTGGTATGGGAAAGGGAGGAGTAGACTCCAGCTGAGAGAAAGAGACAGGCTAGATTATTTTTCATTGCAAACCTAATAAATTAATTTATTCGCCTGATACTCACTTTTGCATGGGACTGACTGTCAGATTTGTCAAAGCCTGAGAAGATGTGGGCACTTCTGCCTCCTGCCTGCCCCTCCATTGGGCAGACCTGGGCAGGGAAGGCAGTGATCCCTCCTGCATGCCTGTCTAGAGAATGCTAAAACTTTTGTCACTGGAAGGACAGGTGAAGATGATTTCACTCATAACTCTAGTATGAAAACGAAATCAAAAGCTAAGAGTGTCCAAAGCAGTTCAGATAAACATACTCCTGACTTCCCTGGTTTGCAAAGATGAAACCGAACATCATTAGTATGATTCAAGCACAGGGAGACTAACAGACTTAGGGCGTAAATGATAAAAAAAGTAACAAATTAGATTTTGTTGATAGTTAGGAACAGCCAAAAAGAAGCTAAACCAAACATCCTCTTTCAGCTCAAGGCCAAACACATCATTGACTCAGTCTTTCAAAATTCAGAATGTTAAACCAAGGTTTGATCTGGCCTCTCATCTCTGATCATCCTTTCTATAAATCCTTGATAAAGTGTGTGTTACTTTTATGGTACAGTCATAAAACAGCCAAATGTAGAAGTAAATGACCTCATACCAGCTACCTCTCTGCAGATAGATTCACTTGGCAGATAGCCAAGAATTGATTGACATACATCTTACGGAACTAGAGTTAATTAATATGTCTACCAATTCCCAAATGGATCTCAGGAAGCAGAGAATCTGTTTAATGCAGTAAGCAATGACATACTGTGTGTGGTCAAGAGACAATCACTAATTGCCAAGAATGCATTCTGGAATAAAACATTAAAGAGTATGAAAAAAAAATCCTTTTACTTTTCAATATCCCTTCAAAACCTTATGCTTATAACATTTTACAGACTCATGTTTCAAATATCAAAAGGCATTTTTATAGGGGAAAATTATTCCCACACTATAAAGTCAACACTCAGAAGGTCTGTTAATTTGTCTACCAGAATAAGTTCTTATTTTTAAATATTTGAGTCTTCATTCATTTAACAAAGATGGCTGTATTTTCAGGGAAATCTGCAAACCTGAATTGCAAAACCATAAGGTAACTTGCAAGAGCTGTTCTTCGGTAACACAACTATGGATTCACTAGTAAAACATATCCATAAATTAAGTAAGTGACTGTTGAAAACACATCAAGAGGCTGGTTCCTAAACTGCAACAGTCCATGGAGCAATACTGATGTAAGACAAACCAAAAACGAAGTAAAGAGGAATAATTTATAGTACATACTCATCTTAACAGGAAAACAAAGGACTGGCTTTTCTGAAGAGAAAAAAGATCGAAATGGATCACAGCGACACTCTGATCTTCAGCCAAGAAAACCAGCATAGTCTCATTGCTTTCTGTGAGTAATACAGTTTTTCACCAGGGAAGACCATGCTTATCTATTTAGTTATGATGATCACTGACAAAGCAGTACAACAGCTACTGTGAGCTTTCTGCAGCATTAAGCTGCAGACTTAAGATCTGTAGACTACAGATGAGAAAAAAATGGGGGAAAACAAAGAGGAAAAAAATTATTTATTTTCCACTAAAAAGTAAAGAAAAACCTAGGTCACCTATGAAAAACTGTCAGTGCATCAGGACACAACTAAGAAGCAGGATTTATGGATGTGTGACTGTATTCTAACTCCCAGCTGAAAGAAAGCTGCCATGGTGTCAGACTGTACTGACTGGTAGGAGACTGAAGGACAGAGTTGGCCCCTGAATAAAAACACAGGCTGAACTACCCCTCTTACAGCTGGTATCTGTCCTGACCAAAGAAAGAGAGGGCTTTAACTTCATGAACCAGGCAGAATGGGTTTATTCATATCTATTTAAGCCTCTGGGGGAGAAGATGCAGAGTAGGCAAGAAAAGTACATATTCTGCTGTGATTTATCAATCAGCACATCAGCACCTGATTTAGGAGCTGGTCTTACCACATCTACTCATTGAGCCACAGAAACTAGTGTAAGTGCATTTTGGCAGAAAGACATGATGGCTAAACACCAATTAAGATTAAAAAGAGGAAAAATAAAACATTGTTTTAAGATAGTTTACCTCAGGATGGCTTCCAACTTCAATATAGGTGCAGACTGGATGAAAAGCCCCTGTTCCACAGGCATACAAGTGGGTTTGGTTATAAGCCTTAAGCACCTTGATGAAATTAGCACATTCTCTCTGCAAAGGAAAGAGATGGGAAAGCATTCACAAAGTTAATTCAGTGATTATTACTAATGGGAGCACTTGTGTGTCAGGGATTGCTGAATGAACACATTTTAAAAGCCTGACAATTTAATTATGTTTATAAGCCTGTTTATTGCTAAGTATTTCATAAATAGCCTGATTTAAATATATTTGGTTACCATTTAATAAAGCATCCAGACCTGAATAAAATATTATAGACCAAAAAAAGACCAAAAAACCCCCCAAAAAACCCAACAAAACTGATTTTTGTTTCAGACATGTTTCATCTTTGTAATTGACGCTATTGCCATGTTTGTCAGGCAAAACAGATTTATAGAAATGTGTCAGAATGAAATAATGAAGAAAAATGGATCAACCATGTGCTTGTATTCAATTAAGTAACAATTAGAAGAAAGATGGAACAGATGGAAGGAGCTGATGAAAAACAAAACAGTGATATAACATTTCTAACAATAATATGAATGCTGCCTCCCCCCTACTGTCTGTGTTTAGGGGCCAGTTTTACAAAGATGAATACATATGCTAAACTTCAGTGAAATTACTGACAGATCTCAGAACACAAGCTTTGCAAGACTCAAGATGTTGTATGTTCTACCTAAGTAACATATAATGGCAATGTATTAAACAGAGCATCCAGAGAAAAGTGTACAGAACCTTACTATACCCTTATTACTGTTGATAACTGAGATAGAAGAGAAAACATAGAGATAATTAAGCTAATCCAAGAGGAAATTGAAAGAAATAAAGATGGATGTTTCCAGGGGTCTCTCTTAATTCTTTCCATTCTGACCTTTCTTAATAAAAACACACACAATTTTTGGTGCATAAGTAATCTTCCTCCCACACATATATAAACACGAACATACATTTATTATATGTAGCTACAGACTGCCTTCCACTGTCACAGTGGTAGAATACTAATAAAATACATGGCATAAATCATCAAAATTACAAAGTATGTTTTGATACTGTTCTTAATACTGTTGCCCTTTGTTCCTTTTAATAAAAGAAATATGGAAAACCTGTGTTAACAATTCACTACCTGCAAGGGTAAAAATGAACAAATACTGTAAATTCATGTATAACATTAAAAATTAATAAAATCGAAATGGATCCTTTCTTAAACTCTGATATCGTGTGTTTCAGCTGGAGCACCTGACTTTGCCTCTACATAATTTAAGAAAGACCAATGATTTGTGCATTATTAAATAATTCAGAATTTTCTCACTCAGAGTTGTACCTGGTCAAACTTTATCACTCTACTGTTTC